AGAAGGTTGAACACCACACATCCACAATTCTTAAGTGCTATCTTGCTTCCTCCGCTGGCCCGAAGCTGCACACTTTCTCCCTGTCCCATTGCCCAAACCATTTCCTTCCTTGTTCTGGTCCCCCTTCTCCCCCACTTCTCTCTTAGCTCTCCCTACCTATCTTCCCAACTACGAGCCTCAGCTGTCTCCCTAGTACTTCTTTCTATAGCCTGAACTTGGCTCTGCTTCTACCCTCCACACTGCTGTAGGTATTGCCCTAAACACCTACCTTTCCTTCCCAGAAACAAGCTCAGTTCAGTTGTTAGAAGTGTGAGTTTACCCACCACTTGGACGTTGCATTAGCACATATGGGGCTGTTGAGTGTACAAGGAGTTGTATGCAAATGGGCTCCGATTTTCATCCTTGTGTCTTTCTCTGTCTTTAGCTTCCTGTCACCGTTTCCCTACAATTTCTTTCTAAACTGGCCACAGTGTCAAAGGCAGTTCTACCTTTTTATAGCATCTGTTTGAAGAAATTTTATAATCATTTATCCAAATTTTAAAACCAATTCAGGCGGCCCTTTTAAATTTCTCTCCTTACACTACTAATGGACTTCACCTTTAGGTAGCCTGGATTGATTTTCCCTTCTATGAACCACAGAGGTCCAGATAGTCTTCCATACCTGAAGCTATGATATTACTTGACCTTTCCATTCTATCAAGTATTTTTAATTAACAAAACACATAACTAAGGTATCCTGAAATATATGTTTAAATTATGGGGCTTTTCCCAAAAGCAGGCCCATCTGCTAGTTTTTATTCAACTCATCAGAGCGTGTTTATTTCAGCAACTAACAAGCTTTCTGATTCCATCAGCGAGTAAAAGATGTTTAACGGGGAGACTCCCTCCGCATCTGTCATATCTCACCCGTGAACTTGCACCCCCGAAGGACATGTTTTCATGGCCCAAACAGTGATGGAGATCACTCGGTGGAATAATGGATGGCAGCTGTTCCAGGGCAGCTTCTCAACTTTGCTTGGTTTAACTCATTCTGACAATAAATAGCAAAGGTCTTCTGCTTTTCTGGAGGAAATGGAGCCATTTCTAAATCATCACAGTAACTGGGCCGGCTCTCTGCCAGCAGTCAGCCCTACTACCTGTGTGCCTCAACAGTGGGAAGCCCCCTTCTGAGGCAACACTGCCCTCCCCAAATCATTGAGAAGGCAGGCTAGGAGAAAGCACTAGGAGATGAGGTTGAACAAGACACTTGGTCTAGACTCTAAGCTAAAGAATTTAAATCTATTATTGGAGATAGCCAGCTTTAAGTTTTCCGTCTAAGGAAGTAAATACCAAGGTTATGTTGAATGTAAGTGTGGTCTCAAGGTCGGCTGGATCCTCATGGTCTTAGAGAACCAAGCTGGCCTTTCAGAGCCTTAAGGAAAACAAAGCTTCCCCTTTCTAAGAGATCTATAAGCTCCTATTTACTTACCTGCCCAGAGTCTGGTTCCTCTGTGTTCACATCATCTGTGTGATCTTTCCCATTTCTATGTCACTCATAGAGTAACGCATAGTTTCTTGCTGGATTCAACAAATCATCCATGGTCACTGAGCACCATATATACTATTAGAAGTTTATGGAATAGTTAGAAGGTTGTGAGAGAGATTGCATAACAGTGAGTCATCTAATTTTCACTGGTTCCACAACACTCCCAGCCATCCTCTTTTATTTTTTTGAAAATAACCTATAGGTCTCTCTCCTTAGGCATGCAGAACAATGTCCTATATCCCAGAGGCTGCCTGGGATAGACAGACATCCCAAGCTGGCTAGTTAGAATTTTTCACATAAGGGCAGTCCTTACTGAGAAATTTTCATAAGGACTGTAAAGTGGAAGAAGGGAAAAACACCCTTCCCTTTATCTATCATGTTTTGTGTAACTCTTCCTTGTGCTGCCTAGTAATTATAACCAAATACACTGAGTTCTCACTAGATACAAATGCCTGTGTTATGAGACCTTAAAATTCACAGCCACACACAAACAGGTGAAGCTAAAAGCCCCAACCTGGACATTCTGCTATAAAACAACAAAGATGCAATTTAAACACAGCATTTCAAGCAGGGAGTTCGGTACGTTTTCCCACCTTTTTCTGGGCTACATAGACCAGAAAAATAGTCCCCACTCAGATACATCTGAACACTTGGACGCCAGGACAGTCTTGAGCTCAACTATAAAGAACATTTCTTGTTAATGAGAATCATTTCCAAGGGTCACTAGAAACAGAACACTTGGCCTCCCCTGTTTCTTCCCTCTCGATGGAAAATCCTGGGCTGCAGGAAGACCCTGATGATCCCGGACAGTGCAAACCCACATCTACCCACACTTCAGCAAGCTGAATGTCACCCACGATCATCTCACAAATTAGGGAACCCAAGTGAAAGGATGACTCCAATTTAGGATTAGAGGGACCTCCAACCTTTTCCAGCCCTCTAGGCATTATAGGAGAGTGACCTGGAAAATCAAAGGCAGAGAAGTGTCCCAAACTATGGGAGGCTTGTTCGAGGTATGATAGAATCTATTAACTGGAGAAATTGGTCTGGAAATCTTATTAAAAGAGACAAGTCATTCCACATTCTCTCCATACTGAAAATATTGGGGGTAACAGACTTTCCCCGATACCTCGGATCCTGCACCTCATGCCAGGCTCACAGCCAGACTCTTACAAGGCTAAATTCAATGCAGCTGATAAACGCAATTATTTTTTTTAAGGACAGCTCTGATTAATTCCCATTTCTCTGGCGAGCCAGAGACTTATCTGCACCAGTCCCTTATTACTGCAAAGGTTGCAAGGCAGAAGAGCCAGTGGCAAAGAGAAATGAAGTTCAAATTGTGGATTTGTCATTACTGCACAGCTCAGCAGTGGATGGTTGTCCATCTGCAGAAGCCGCTGTGACTGGCCTTCCTGACCACCCCCCCACACACATACACCCTCACACTCACATCTCCTTTCTCAATACGCTCGATTAACCCCTGGTGGAGACGCCAGGAAAGCAAGGCACCCTTAGTTCCTGAAGCTGAACCTCACACATGTTTGCTACTTATGAGGGATGCAGAGAAAAAAAAATCCTTAAAATTTAAATACAGGTGGTCCCCAACTTATAACAGCTTAACCTGAGATTTTTGTTTCTTTACAGTGCTGTGAAAATGCTATGCATTTACGACTTCAAATCTTGACTTTGCTTTTTTTTTTTTTTTTTTCAAATCTTGACTTTGGATCTCTTCCTGGGCTGGCAGGAAGATGATTCTGGGGAGCAGCTGCAAGCTGAAGCTCCCAGTTAGTCTCAGGAAGGGAAACAATAAATACGCTATTGTGTGCAATACTGTACTGGCTTGCTAAGCTATGATGTCTAATGGATTGGGGGTATAAAATGCATTTTTGATTTATCACATTTTCAACTAATGATGGGTTTATGGGGATGTAACCCTATTATAACTCAAAGAACATGCATATCATAGTAATGATATAATAGCAGTGATTATATAATAATTAAGTTATGTATGTAGTATAGTTAATTATACTCTCAAATAAGAACTTAGTCCATACCTGGTATTGTGATGAAGGCTTTCTTTTCATTAATTATCTTCTTTGTCTTTAGAATAGCCCTACATGACAGGAGTTGCTGAACTTTTGCTGTTAAGGGCCAGATAGGAAATACTGCAGGTTTTCCAGGCCACATGATCTCTGTTCAAAATATTCAGTTCTGTGGTTGTAGCATAAGGCAATCGTAGATCATGAGAATGAGTATGGCTGTCCTCCAATGAAACTGTATTTATAAAAATTCCCTTATTGTGATCATCAGAACACAGCATACTGAATGCTGCCAACAAGGTGTATGAATTTAGCTTGTGCCTAACCTAAATCCTGAGTTTCCACATTTAATTGGGAGCTTATGAGTTTCCCTTTCTTGCTATTCAAGGCTGGGACCTCCTGCATGTCCATCTACACCACTGGTATTTGGGCCAGGTAACACCACCCAGGAGGGAGCTCTCCTGTGCACTGTGGGTTATTTAGCAACATCCTGATCTTTACTCACTCACTGTTCACAACAACACCTAAGTGTGATGATCAAGACAAACTGAGTGTGATGGCACACTCCTATAATCCCAGCACTTGGGAGGCTGAGACAGGAAGATCACCATGAGTTCAAGGCCAACCTAGGCTACATAGTGAGTTCAAGGCCAGCCTGAACTTCATCGCAAGACCTTGTCTCAAAAATACTACAACAATAAAAACATCCAGGACCTTGGATGCTGTCTCCTAGAGGTTAGGGTGACATTGCCTCTGTCTTATAATGAAGGGGGAAACCATCATCCGTTCCTCTCAGTGGCAAGTTCTAATTCCCAATTCCACAAAAATTTGGAAAGATCATCAGCATGATCTCTTAATCCCGGGGGACTGTTCTCAAAGAAGCAGTGCAAGGGAAGCACAATTGTCCCCCGTCCACATGGAAGAAAGCTAAGGTCTGAGTCATACCACTAGTAAGCAAGAGCCTGGATTGGAACCCAAGACTACCAGAAGCCAAAGCTTATATTTTTTTAGTAACTCATGATCTGGTGATGAACAAACACTGTATATGACTCCTGGAGTGGGAAAAAAGGCTGCCATGATTTCCATGATAGAAAAAGAAAAAAGAGATAACACAAGTCCTTCCCTCAGAGCATTGTATCTAATCCAGGTGGCACCATTTGAAGATCGATACTATTCTCTCCATTTTATAGACGAGGAAACTAAAGTCTCCCAAGGATAACAAGTAGTTTGAGATCAGCAAAATAATGATATTTAAGAATAGTTTCTGGGTTCAGAGCCTTGGCATTTCAACAACAAAGAAAGTGGGCATCTGCTTCCCCAGAGGGCTGTTGTTTCTGGCCAATGTGCCCGTCAGCAGTAAGGAAGCAGTGGTGATACATGATGCTGATGTACTCCCCTCTCCCCTGCTTTGCCTTTGGCTCCCTTTCTTGCCCCAGCTCTGCATGCAGTACTGGCCTGAGAAGACATCTGGGTGCTACGGGCCCATCCAGGTGGAGTTCGTCTCAGCAGACATCGACGAGGACATCATCCACAGAATATTCCGCATCTGCAACATGGCTCGGGTAAGAAGTCTGCTGCCTCCTTTGTGAAGCAGATGGAAGCTCCTGGGAGAGGAGCCCACCAAGCCAGCCAAGTCTGTATTGCACTCTCCTAGTAATCTCTTCCTTGGGGAAGTGAAGCCTTTGCAGATTCCGGCTCCAGACCCGGCAATGCTCTGATACCGAGAGATGCAGAGAGCGATATCCAGCTTGCCATCTGCCTATTTCATGACACACTTGCTGCCATGTAGACCACACTTCCCAAGACATTAGCTCTGCCAAACCATTTTGACATGAGTTGATACAACCTGTGGCTGATCCTGTAAGGTTGGGGCTGGGTCCTGCCATATCAAAAAGTGAAATAATGAATTGATTTAATGAGAATATATATTCATGGGAGGAATGGAGGAATGTTGGACTCAAGGAAACAAAGCAGTAATCTATGAAATGATGGCCACTATTGATCTCTAATGGGAGCCCAGGGTGAGTGGAGTTCAGTTCTTCCTCTTAGAGTTTATGACCTAATGGGAAGGTGAGATGTATTTTGACATATGAACCACAGAGAGCTAGAATTTGGCCCACTAGAGTCAGGGATAGTGTCCCTAAATAAAAGGATACTAAAAATGGGCTTTGATGACTAAGGAGGAGTTTTCCAGGTAGAAAGAAGAGAATCAGTGTACACCAAGGTGTAATGTTAGGTAACAGGATGGTCTGTGGCATTCCCATGACAACAGGACTTAGAGTCCACCTAGTCTGTCTTGCAGTAGGCTGCAACCCTGAGGGTATCTGGATGACCTGCAACCTTGCACAGTAATCTTAACAAGCCCTCTGTTCTCAGCCCCAGGATGGATATCGTATAGTGCAGCACCTCCAGTACATCGGCTGGCCTGCCTACCGGGACACGCCTCCCTCCAAGCGCTCTCTGCTCAAAGTGGTCCGGAGGCTGGAGAAGTGGCAAGAGCAGTATGATGGGAGGGAGGGGCGCACTGTAGTCCACTGCCTGTGAGTATTATGGGAATGTCTCCAACACAACAGATAATGGGTGAAAGAGTGTATATAAGGATGCTATGGACCATACACACCAGTCCTAGGCATGTTTGTCTATACTACATCTTAAAGCCTATAAAGGCCAATGTTAAATGCATTCAAAGGAATTCCAGTTCTTTAATAGGCTGAGGTCTCTAGCCATGATAAATTTTTATATGGTATACTACTATTGATGTGAAACATGATGGAAACAGACCATCGCCCCCAGTGCTTCAAAACTGGAGATATGCCCCACTCTCCAAGAGGAAATGTGAGGTATCCTGCTACTTACAAACAAGCTCAGAACATGGTAGGACCCTCTGGCCTGAACTGCCTATATTAGTTCCTGAAAAAGACATTAAGTTAGCTTAATGGAAGCCCAATATTTTAAACGAACCATCTCATTCCATCTGCCAGGTAGATATTATCATTTCGTAGAGAGGTAACTAAAGCTTGAACAGGGTCAAGGATCAGCAAGTTGATAGAGGAGCTGTGATTTGTGGTCACTGGACTCTAAGATAATGTACCATGCACGGACTGACATTGCCTCTGAGTGAACTAAAGACAGCCTCTGTGACATCTGCTGTGGACGTAGTGGGCACATGGGAACATGGAAAGCATGAAAGCAAGACACTACTCTGAAGGGCTGTGACAAGGCCATAGTGCCTCACAATTAGTGTTTATATCTCCATTACTGTTAGGAACTGGAGCTTTTACTTCTGTCCTAGAATCAGCCCGGCACAGGCAAATGGACCCCAATGTCATTACGCTCAGTGAAAGTCAGAACCTTAGAGGACTGTGGTTGACAAGCTGTGCAGCATTAGGAAGATCACTTATTTGGTGACCCTCAATTTTATCATCTTCCCACTGGGTATGTGGAATTAGATCATCTTTAGATCCTGCAGTGCTTTGATAAGAAGCAGAAAATATGAACTATGTGTCTGTCAACAGGGAGATCGACAGTGTCACGGCTATACTATGCAAATGCTATAAAGGAAATTAGTTAAAAGAGCCACTATCAGCATCTATCTTAAGAGTATAAAGGGGGCTGGTGAGATGGCTCAGTGGTCTAACGCACCTACTTAGAACAAGCTTAGCAAAGCACAGGGACTGTGGTTCGATCCCCCAGCACCACATGCCAGCCAGCCCCGCCCCCTGGTGGGCTGAGCTGGCCACACACACACACACACACACACACATAAATAAATAAAATTTTTTTAAAAAGATTAAAACAAAAAAAAAAGAGTATAAAGGGACCAGAGAGAAGGATTCTACAAAGATCTCAGACCCATAGCAAATCTGCAGCCTTATAAGTTTTGTGTGGAATGTCTGATTCTCAATTACTCATTTTGTTTCTTAGAATTCAAATGACTTGGGGATAAGTGACTGAGATGCCCCCCCCCAAAAAAAAGTGTTATGCTACAGGTAATCTGAACCAAATCCTTCCCCCTTTCAAGTCATTTCTGGAGCTCATAAAGGCATTACTAATATCTCATGGATGTCAAAATTGAGTCTTTTCAAAAGCAGCTAGTTGTTCAATTTTTTCAAGTAGGCAGTGCATATACATGCCAGAGAAGCCAGAGAGCTTGAAGGAAGTTAAATACACTATGCATATTCAGAAATATGGAAACAAAAGCCTTCCAAAAGATACAGTTCTCCAAGTGGAGTCCAGGAAGGTCGTGTGTAGTGTGCTCTGTGTATCTAAGGCTGGTGAGTGACATCAGCTATGAGAAACTAACTCTGCCCATATCCTAGAGTGTGGTAGCTGCCTCTCAGTCAATCTGTTCTCTCCAGTTCCCTCACACTCATTCAAATTGCCCCAGGAGTAGCACAAGACCACCAGGACCACCAGGCCCTGAGACTTTTGCATCCTCTCCTGTGGTCCTCTTGGGCTCTGTTGTTGATGCTTCAGAAAATACTGATTTTTTTTCCAGGAATTCTTCCTCCTCTCTGATTTTTAGCCTGATCTTTTTGGCAGCAGTACCTTTTCATCTATACCTGCCTTAGCCAAGGAAACTAGCGCTTTAAACTGTAGAGCATCACAGGAGTGTTAGCCACTAACAGGAATCTGGCTATCTCTGGGGATCCTGGGCCCCATAACAGCCACTGAAATGGAGCCACCAGTCAGTGAAGAGAGGACAGCTATCTGTACTTAAAACATCTGCTTGATGGGTTTCCTATAGATAAAATTTTGAGAAATTGACTGAGTGCCTTAGTTTCTGTCCAGATGTTCTTGAGACACAGCCCATTACAGGAAATCATTAACTTCTCTTGGAAACATGCCCAGGAGTTTGGAATCAGGTAGATTCCTAAAGGAACTTTCTATAAGGAGTTTGATGGGTATTTCTAGGAAGATGATTTATAGAGCCTCAGAAAGAGGAGTTAACAGAAAGATGGCATTGCCAAGAACATTATTCATATCCTCAAGATTAGTAACATCTGACTTGAAGGTGTACATGTAGAGACCTGATATTTCCAAATACAGTCCCCCAAGCCCATCAGCCTGAAGCTGGCTGTCTGGTACTGGCCTCTTCCTAGAAAAAGATGTGGGGGGGGGAAGCAGGAAAATCACCTAGAACCTCCCATTATCTTCATGGGATATGTAGCAAGAACCATAGTATGCTTTTAGACAAAGTTGTGGGTATCCCAAGTCCAAAGCCATCCTGTAATGAAAGTTTGGGTAGGTGTCCCAAGAGTGACTGTAACATCCTCATAGAAACTAGGAAACATAAGCTAATCAAACTCTCACAGGTCCTCTAGTCCAGTGCCTTCAGCGTATGAATAAGAAGTTAGATCTCAGACTGAGGAAGCAACTTGTCCAAGATCAAAGAAGCTCCATGGCCCAACTGGGATTCAAGCCAAAACTCATGGCTCAGGCTAAAGCTTTCAGCACTGCCATCCCTTGCACTTGCCAAGGCAGTCACTCCTCACTACTGCAGTGTCACTGTAAACTCACCAGGTGTCAGGGAGGGGAGGACAGGAATATGGCTGACCTCTTCTCTCTGTGTCTAGAAACGGGGGAGGCCGCAGTGGGACCTTCTGTGCCATCTGCAGCGTGTGTGAGATGATCCAGCAGCAAAATATCATCGACGTGTTCCACATCGTGAAAACACTGCGGAATAACAAGTCCAACATGGTGGAGACCCTGGTTAGTGTCCCAAGAACTGTTCTTCTGCAGCCAGGACCTCACTGTAGTTCCTTGGACTAAAAGACAACTAGCAAAATCCTTCAAGAGTTGAATTCTGAGTACCCACAGTCTCTGCCCTTTGCATGCACTGTTGTCTGCCCATGTCTCCTCCTTGAAGACCCCCCATTCATCTCTCTCTCTCTCTCTCTCTCTCTCTCTCTCTCTCTCTCCCCCTCTCCCTCTTTCTCTCTTTCTCCCCTGCAGAGAAATCCACATATTAATCCTAGTACACCTGTCTTATTTGACCTTCTGCCCATTCCTTAGGAAAATGTCCCAAATTCAGGCTTAAGGGAAGGAATTCTGGATTAGAAGAATAAGAATTATAGTTTCAATTCAGTCTACACCTATTCTTTTTTTTACTTTTTAAAAATTATTTATTTGTTTGTTTGTTTGTTTGGTATAGGGTCTCACTACATAGCTTGGACTTAAAGTAATCTTCCTGTCTCAGCCTCCTCAGGGCTGGGATTACAAGCTTGTGCCACCATGCCTGGTTTAGCCCACACCTATTCTAATTCATTTATGCTCATTTTATAGTATAAAGTATTGAACTTGGATGCTACAGAAAAAAAGATAAAGAAAGTGGAAAGACTGAGCCCAAGATGATGAGACGTTATGCAATGGTGGAAAGAGACTCTATATAAAGAACTGGAACACAAGTCCTTAAATCCACTCAAAGTGTGGTCACACTCAGAATGAGATCCTACTAGAAGGGGGCCCACAGGCAACATCCTCATTACCTGAGAGTTCATTAAAAATGTAGGTTCTTGGGTCCCTCCCCAGATTTACTCAACTAGAATCTGCATTTTTAGCATATTCCTGAGTTTCTTGTATGCAAGTTATCATTTAAGAAGCACTCTTGAACTAAATCCTAAAAGTAAAGAAAATTGTCCCAACAGGATATTCAGGAACTCGCAGGTAGAGACTGACCTCAAGCAGAACACTGAAGAATGTCCAGATTCAGATTATTTCCTTTTAGTATGAATGTAGATAAAATTTTCTCCCAAATCTGTATCTCTGATCTAATTTATCTTCCCTTTCTTTTTTATCCCTTTCCCCTTTTCTTGTCCCTCTCCTCCTCCCAGGAACAGTATAAATTTGTATACGAGGTGGCACTGGAATATTTAAACTCCTTTTAGCCCAACGGGATGGAGAAACATGCCAGAGTTCAGAGGCTGTTGTGGCCACACGTCTTTTTCTCTGAATAGCTGTGACTGGGCTCAGGGACTCAGAGATGGTCCCCCTGCCTAACTTGAAAAGAAGACTTGTGGTTCTGTGTTCCGTGGTGGGCTCTGCACCTTCTGAGAGGCCTCCTGTAGATGTGGGAGATGCTTCACTCACAAGCCCAGGTTCCCTTCCATACTCGACCAGCCACAACCTTGGGGCCACACAGAAGAGCACCCACAAACAAAGCCCGGGACTTGTGGTTTCCAGAGTTCTTGCTTTTGTTCTTCCTGAGTTTGTGAATCTCATGGCACGCCAGCTATGCAGGTGCTGGGGAGTGAGTGGCCAGCCAGCACCGCTTTCCCTCCTTCTCTTGGGAGTGTTGAAAATATGAATTCTACTCTTCCATGCAGTTGTAAGAATGGGGATTTGGAAGTCACTGCTCTGATGCCCCTTGTAATCTCCTTCAGAGGTCTCTGAAACCAGACACCTGCTCATCTGGATCAGGGCAGCCTCAGAATGGACCCTAGACAACAGCAGAGGCTCCTCTTCAACCTCACACCTAACCTGCATGGGGCTCGGCCCACTACCATTCTGTACCCCTTCCCCAGCCCAAACTTTGACTGTCTGTCATTCACTGACCAGCAGCTCTGCCCACAGCGCAATTCCATAAAAGATTTTCTTTCCCTTTTTGTGGTCTCTGGGAGGGGCTGGGACTGGGGAATGTTGTTGCTCTTCCTTTCCTTTGTAAAAGGGACCGGCCTAGTGCGGGGCTCTCACTGGCTTGTACAATGTAACCCTTATGTCTCCTTGGTGGTAGCTTCCTCTGGAAGGGATGAAGAAAATAAGAGTTGATTATTTTCCCAAGTGTATGTGCAAAGAAATTTGTCTTTTGAGGGTGTAAAATCTTAGTCTCTTATGTCAAAAAGGTAAGGTGAGAGTTTGAATGTGTAGTTCTGAGACAAATCTTTTGAGCCTATTGTAGTATCTGGTTATGTCCTTGAAAGGGTCCCACCTGGGAGAGTACAGCCAATTGAGCAAGGGAGGGACAAACTAGTCCAAAAATGGTCCCTGGTTTCTGGGACATAGCACTAGCTTTGAGCACAATTTGGATCTCAAAATTGAGCTTCTTCCCAGAGAAAGCTAGCCTCTGTCTTGCAAAAGGCCATTGTGGATCTAGCCATGCTTTGGTTTAAAATAGCTCAAAGGGATTAGGCCTGGAACTCTGGGTCTTGCCCAAATACGAGTGAGTCTAGGAGAGGGAGCAGCATCTGCTAAGTATCTCCGCTATGCCAGGCGCCACGCTTGGCACCTTCCACGTGATGTCACATGTAGTCTCAATACCCGCAACAGGGAGCTCTGTTCATCTCCATTTTGCATTTGTGGAAATGGAGGAACCTTTCTAAATGATGGAATCCCAGGCTCCAAAAAGGCAGACAAAGATGACAGAACTTTTTCTGAACTGTTTTCTTCATACTTTCTTCATACAAGCAATTATTTAACAGAGGAGAAATAAGGCTAGGAATTTATGACTAGAGAACTTTGTGGATGGAAACTTAGTTTTCTTTCTCCAGTTCTTCTGGGAGGCCCAAATTTTCAGATATATTTTAGTAACACTTTCCCTGTTACCCTGGAAAGCTAGTTTCATCTAATTTCTTCTTTCAGTGAGAAACAATTCTTCTACTCCCTCAGGCTATGAGTGAGCCAGCCAGGGACACTCTCTACCTTGGTCTCTAGCCAGTGCTTAGGTATAGTGTCTGACAGACTGAGGTGTCCTGGGATCTAAGAAGTGCCATCTTGTAGGCTGGTCTAACCCTGAACAGGGTATGAACAACACCAAATTCAATAAGGCATAGTTTGTGTCCTTACGGGCTCACTGTTGTACTGGAGAAATTGAACCACAATGCAATAGCAGAGGGGATGCGAGTGTTACATGGACCTATGTACAAGAGAGCCTCACTCTGCCTAGGGCCCCCTAAAGGAAGTAGCATTCATTCCAGCTGGGTCTCAGCAGGTACAAAAAGGAAGGAAAGGAAATTCCAGCCAGTGGGTCAGTATGTGCAATGGCAAAGAGGTATCAGGAAGGACAGACAATAGGAGGTCAGGCCAGCAGGAGCGTAGCAGGACAGAGGGAATGGCAGGAAGTAAGCTAGGTCAGGAAGACAAGTGCCCCACAGAGAGTGCAGATGTTGTCCTGTGGTCAACAGCAAGCCAGCAGAGCTTCACGGTGACATGCTCACCCCAGTGCTGAAGAGGCCAGTGGGGCTGCCTCTTCTCCTTTCATCAGACACTGTGAAAACATCCCTTTATGCGTGTTATTTTTTTTTAATATTGTATCTGTTTGTCTTTTTGCTCATTATTTTGTGGCTGGAACAAAATACACAGTGGATCATGAGCTGTTGTTCCTGTAAGAGACCCGGGATCTCTGCTTGACCACAGAGCAAGGTCAGCAAGCCAGGCCTCCGAGCACACTGAGATGGAACATGAAAGCAGCTCGTGAAAGCCGCCTCTGTTGGTGTAGGCTCTGGAGCTGTCCAGATGTCAGGGACACCAGACTTGATCAAGGCAGGGCTGTCACTTGGGAAGTTCAAAAGGAAGTCTCAAAGCAAAGACAGGCAAAAGACCCCTGGGACTAACTTGCTCTTCCCCTTTGATGGGCCTCTTCCCAGATGTATTTGAGCAGGTCCCTGGAGCCCAACTCTACTGGTCCTGCTGGCTTTCTCTGGCTCCGCCCACTGCCCCATTGGCCTTCCCAGCCGCAAGGAGTCCACAGCATGGTATATCAGCCTGTCGTCTCCTATTTCCTGAGATCTTGGCTCATGCAGACAGGCTAATACAGGGCTATTTAACACAGATGCTTGGATTTGTTCTGCTCATGAAAGGGTGAAATAGATGCCAGATAAAAATGAGAGGGGCCTCCATCACGGAAAATGGTGGAAATTTAAAGTTGGCTTCAAGGAGAAGGAAACTTACAAAAATTCAGGCCATGGTGGCTTAACCCAGCAAGGCCAGCTTGTTCCCTCATGTTGTCACAATTCAACCACTCTCCAAACAAGTCAGGGTAGTAAGCTGGTCTTAGCCTTGTGTATGCAAAAGGAACTTAGGTTTAAGGATAGAGTTGACTTGTCTAAGTTCCCACAGGAAGGCTATAAGGCAGGGCTTGGATGAGGGCAAGTAACAGTACCCAGTATTTAGACTTAATAACTTGTCCATGAAATCTCTCAAATGAAATACATCTCCAGATATGTTCTCTCCTCTCATTAGTAACAAGGTAGGCTCACTCTTCTATGAGCATAGAAAAATAGTATTAACACTCTCCACAACAGAAGTGCATTCATTTACGAGGTACTGAAGAGTGCCCTCCCTTAGCAAAGATCTTCCTGTGGAACCCCATCTGGAAACGATGCAAGGAATTAATAAGAAGCCAGAAATTGTCCCCGCCTTATGTGTGTTTATGGCCTAGATAAATTCAGAATTCAGATTCAGATTCAGATTCAGATTCAGATTCAGATTCAGATTCAGATTCAGATTCAGGTCAAAGAAACTCATGGTCCTGGGCCAGCCAGGGACCTCTGGGCCTCTAGACAGCCACAGAAAGCCTTCCTTTGTGGGATGACACCAGCTTGCTTTAGTGTTGGCCTCCTCTGTGCACATGGCCTGAGCAATGGCCCATGAGAGATCAACATCAAATAGAACTAGCTGACATTGAGCTGGGTGCTCTAATATGTGGGCTTGTTTCTTCCAACAGTCTTAGGAAGAATACTTGGGATTACCCTATCATAACTTGACTGAGCAAACAGGGGCTCCGAGGGGAAACACTTGCCCACAGCTCCATGCCTACTAAATGAGCAAACCAGAAATTAAACTTTTGCTCTGATCAAAAGACAATATTTTTTTCCATTATCTGTCTCAGATTTTCCCATTGGGGTTACTCATAACAGCAAAGACTAGAGTGGAATGGGTAACTCTGGATTTTGGTAAGCCCAGCAAAGCCAATGATAAGTATAAAGTTCCCTTACAGTCTCATATTTTAATAATTCATGCAATATTTGCATTCCACTTCTTAATTTCAACATGACTCTACAAATACTTTTAAAAAATGTATCCTATGTAGTTTTGATCTGCTTAGCCTAAGTGTGTGGACCCTAAAGAGTAATATCACAGTCTGTAAAATAATAACTGGCCTACCATTTCCCCCCTAAAGCCAAATCCAGACTCAAGTTCAAAAGTACCTCACCCTCCTGTAAGCAGATCCTTTGATATAGAAGTACTCTGTCCTCACTGTTTCCAAGTTAAGTTCAACTACAGTCTTTTCCAGTTGAGTACTGGGAAGAACCCTTTAGCAGAATAGAATGAGGAGGAACTGCTGAGCTAGCATCATGAGGCATGATACCACAAAGCCCTCAAAGGAAACAGGAAGCTGGATGCAGCTTTAGACAACAGACTCATGAATACAAGCCTTCTAGAAAGAGGTGCCCATTGTCTAGGTAAAGCCCCATGTTTGCTAATGTGGGCAACTCAGTGCCTACATTTTACTTGAGGGGGTGGGGGTCTAGAAAGCCTCTCAATTTACCTTGATATACATTCCATGTATTCCTAACATACAGTACTCTGGAGGAGTACTACCAAGAATCACAAAGTACTAGGCCATAGTGCATCCCTTTGTGAGGGATACAGTGATGATGGAAGGGGATTGGTGTTTGGTTGAAACTTTCCTTGCCATTTCTTGGCTATTGAATGGTAGACCAAACAACTAATGAAAAAGTAAGTTTGCAGAGGGAGGCCTCATCTGGGTTACAAGGAGTAGAGTTGGGGGTCGGTAAGCAAGAAAACAGGAAGACAAGGCCAGGAAATTGGAAGGCAATGAATCCTTAGAGTCAAGGATGCTTGTGGACTATTTGGTCACTTCTATGACATGACAGAGAGGAAATGGGGCAGGTGTGCAGCTTCAGGGAGAAAAAAATCTCAGTGAAAGGTGATCACCATTTTCACTCTGACCAGTCATGCTTTTTATATTCCACTTCTGGTCATTCTTATGTCCTAATGTGTGCTCTTACCAGAATCCATGTCTCCACCACTCCAGTGCAAGCCCTGTAGAGTACACATAAGTGTCAATCTAGCAAGGCTTCTGCAGAGAACAGAAGTGAAGCCCAGGTAGGAATAGCCTGGTGCTTATCATGTCATCTCTAGAACAGAAACTGCCCAGCCCAGATTCAGAAATGTTGAAGGAAATGATCATTCCCTTAGACCTGGCTGCCTACACACAGAATGAAGAAATCCACCTTTCCTTAGTTTGCACCTGGCCACTCCCAGGCTGGCCAGATAGGCCATCAGCAACAAGTTGAATCAGAGTTTGCTGTGGAAGACATAGGTGGACTCAAGGGTAAGCATATGTATGACATTGACCCTAAGTCAAAAAGTCAACAGACAGTACTAGGCCAAAATCCCCAGGGACAGACAAGTTGCCAACCAAAACTAAAGCATATATCATAAAATAGAATGTGGATGATCACACCATCTCAAAGCCCAGACACCTGACTTATCTTTCCCATCACAAAACCATCACCAACCCCTTCTCAGCTTCTGGCTAGCTCCAAATCTCAGCCAAGTATAGCAGAGAAATAAGAAAAGTACATCCAACTAGAGACAAACATCTGAGATTCAGTCTTATTCGTATACTCCCATTCATGGGCACCCTTTCAGGGGTTTTCCATGTATATATCTTGAGGAATTACAGAACACAGAGTTTTGGCTTCACCTACCAGGAATCTGTCTTTGAGGACATACATTCTCTGAGCAGCAAGAAGAGAGGTCAGTGGTTAACAGTCAGCTCCAATTTTCTCTGACACATATTTCAGGGTCATATATCTGATTTTCAGAAGTACAGAGGCATTATCTCTGTCATATCTATGCACATAAACACACTTAGTTTCTTGGTAAACAAGGACAGAGTTTTGCATGACAGGCTGTTCAACTGTCCTGGAGAGATCAAAATCATCTCTTTCATATTTCTTGCCCCACTTCAAAAGAGATATAAAAATGTATCAAAAAAAGAACGTATTCACTTATGAGGCCCAGCCCTGAAGGTTAAGTCTCCAAGAGAAGTCAGCATTCACAATGATAAACCTCCAATTGTGGCATGCCATCCATCTAAGAGCTTGTTAGTGATTCTCTAGGGATATGGCAAAAGTCAGGATGGAAGAAGATCTATGGGAAAGAGCTTTGAGGCTTCCCTACAGGGGCTTCCCTGTGTATCTGAGGTCAGCTCTGGGTGGTAGGTTATAGACTTTGGTTCTTGATTGGAATATCCAGAGAAAGAATGGCAAGGAGGTTGGGAGTAATGGGTAAGAAAGTATGAGCATGAAAGCCTGGATCTCAGGGTAATTCACGTAGCTCATGGTTCCTTGATGAGCTGGACTCGTGGACTTAGGGGAAGAATAGAAGGAAGGAATAAACCAGTAAAACTGCAACACTGAATCTTGTACAAGTAATTCAGTGCCTTTGGGTTTGCGAATACAAACTGGTAGACCTTGTGTGTTCTGACAAACTCTCATAGCCCATCCTACTTTACTTCTGCCCATGAAAGATTAATGGTATAAGGTTTTCTTTGGACAAGTGTCCCCAAAGTTTTCTGAAGGCTTGGCTGGGAGGGTGCACAAAGCAGTGTCCTTCTAAGTAAAATCAGGCTTCGGACAGTCAGTTAGGATACTAGTGCCCATATCTTCTGCAGGACTTCTGATTATTGGACAAAGTCAAGCACAATTTGCTAGTCCTGAGCTACTCCTGTGAATGGAACCAGTACCAATGAGGATAACTTAGAGCTCTGAGGAGGAACTCGCTGATAGCCAGCAAGGATGAGCTGGTCAAAGCAGCAGCTGTCTGTCAGGTCCCAGGTGTTTCTTTCAAGGGCAGAAGAAGCACCGATGAGATGGCTTTTTAGTCATTTCCATCCTAGGTGGGTGGTAGCCTGTGGAGCTGGGATCATTCTCGAGCTCATTTATACCTGCAGTCAAGTCGTGCTTTATTTGTGTAGGTCAAAGCTTTCTGCTCTCCCATGGAAGCCCACTTAACACACTGGCCAAGATGCTACTCTGGCCACAAATCCTGGGCTCATCCAAGCTTGGTTATCACCATACCCTGAGCCACAAAAAAAGCAGCAGCTTGCCGTAGACTTGATGCCCACTGAGATCTCTGATAAGAATCCACTAGCCACCGGGGCCACCAGCATAGCCAGACCAAATTAAGGCTTAAGCAGGACCCAGAGCAGGGCTTCGCTTATCATTTTCATTACCTCCAAAGTTCATTCTGCCCCAATGCCCCCTCGCGCCTGTTGGCACAGATGTCAAAAGCACAGTGACACAGGGGACATAAGATTTTAAACATCCCCAGTGCATATATTTCATCAGTGGGGGGATCTTTGGTTTCCTTAGGTTAACCCAAGATAACCCGTGTTGGTAATCAGACCCAAATGCACTACTTTATCTTCTCTTTTCATTCTGTGTCCTAGTGGCCAATCAGAAGTAGAACTGGGATCTCTACCGTTGCTTTGGTCACTGGTCACCCTCACAGCTGACTAACAGATGTTGTGCGGTCCCCACTCATCTCCATGGAGGCTGACATTATCATAACCCTGTGGCTGATGATTTCACATGAGACCAAAGTCTCCGCATTATTTGCAGCCTCCTCCACAAATCCCAGTGGCCTGTGCTTGTACAGTTTGGGTGTTTGATAGATAAAGCACGTATGCAAAGAGAAAACAAAATAAATCAACTTTTAAAAGGAGCCAGCACTGTGCGGTCATTGTTTTTGTTTTCCTTTTTCTTTCCAATTCTAGCTTAAAAGAAAAAAAAAAAGAAGGTAAATAATGTCAGGTCAATGAATATCAGATATATTTTTGACTGTACATTACAGTGACGTGTAATCTTTTTACACCTGCAAGTCCATCTTATTTATTCTTGTAAATGTTCCCTGACAATGTTTGTAATATGGCTGTGTTAAAAATCTATACAATAAAGCTGTGACCCTGAGATTCATGTTTTCCTAAGACATTCGCACTGGTGTCTTCCTGAGGTGGGGTGGGCATGAGATGGGAACCAATTGAGGTGGAAGGAAAATAAATCCTAGAATCAACTAGGTTTCTTTATATTTATATTTCTTTAATTTCTACAACTACAACAGAGAAAACACATATTATCACCTCTTTGCCAATGAAAAAGAGTGAAGGGTCAGTAAATAGCAAGGGATTTGGCATGGGCATATACAGAAATGATAGAAGGGCCAGAGCATCATGCAATATTTCTGGTGCAGCGTCTACAGAGCACTGGCATTAGACCACATGCACGTTTGTTAAGCACTTTGTTTTAAATTCCACAACATCACAGTGCCACGGTCTACACAAGCTACCCAGACGTATCAGCCAGCTATCGCCGCAGAAGAAACCACCCCGGAACACAGTGACCTAAAAC